CTAGAATCAGTTGATGTTGAGCGGTGGAAGGGAAAGCACGCTTTCCCGCTGTGAGCGCAGTTGGTGCTATCTTCCTTTGGTGTTGCAATTTGGCTTTTAGTTTACCAGGGAGAGAGGGAATTGAGTGTCACGCGATCCCTCGAAGTGCTAACGGATTATCCGCGCGAGTAGCTGGCGCAGAGAAGGAGCAGGAAGAGCCAGTGTCCACTAGCGGGAGCTCTCAGCAGAGAAGGTGGGTGTAAAGTCCTCCTATTTTGACTGCCTTAACCGTCGTGCAAAACGGACGCAGGCCGCGTGTTCGCTGCGGTGAAGTAGTGGTGGCGATATGGTGCTCCTTGGGAAGCAGACCTGGTGTGTGAGGCGCAGATAGTGAGTGTAAGGAAGAAGCGAGACATGGACTGGGGGATTCGTGGTGTGAATTTGTGTATTTTTTCCGCTTAGGGTTTGAATAGCACTCGAAGTCACTGCGCGAAGCGGGAGGGCATCGGTGCACCCGAGAGCAATGTTGGCTGGGAGAGGGCGTGATGTGCGCCGAGTGCAAAGTGAGAGCGAGTGCTGGTGGTATGAGGGCATTCGAGATCCGTCCCAGGGCAGAGTCGCGATTGCCGACAGGGGCACAGGTCTCTGACGGCGGCAGGCGCGGGCAGTGCGGCGAGGGGGCGAGGAGGAGGCGAGATGCGGCGACGATGGTGGCGGCGAAGTCAAAGCCAGGCGGAAGGCGGTTGGTGCCTGCACGTCTCCTCCGCACGGGCGCGCTCTCGGGCGCATTCCTGGCGTGCTCACCGAACACGTTGCTCACACGTTGGCGGCGGCGGAAGCGAAGAACTTGGCCGTCGGGAGGGCGGACGTCGAGGCGGCGCTCGAGGGGGAGGGTGGGACGGCGTCGAGCTGCGTCTTTGCTCCTGGCGAAGAGGCCACCGCTCGAGGGGCAGGAGACAGGTCCGTTGACGGTTCGCCCTTCCGCTCCGCCAGGATCGCGGAGCGCAGAGGGGGAGGGGCAGACCCGCCGTCCGGGCGTACGGACACGCGATGTGGTGACGGCGCGGCGGAAGGAGGCACGAGAGGAGCAGCAGCCGTGGGGGCGATCAGACCCGCGGGCAGAGGTGTGCAGGCTAGTAGATGGGTAGATTAAAGATGAGGTAGAGTGGTAGTGCCGGGGTGTGGTTGGTGTTCCTTCGCGCGTGCAGGAGCAGATATGCTCGGCGTCTTGGTGCTTCGGCGGATTACAGATGTCCCGGTCTCGAAGCCGTATGACGCTGGCGCTGACGCACAGCGCGAAGGCTCTTCGCCTGGAAGCAAGTAGAAAGGTAGGCTGCGGCCGGGAGCGAGGAGTCTTCGGCGAGCGATTGTGTCGAGAACAGATGTTGCGGCCGAGAAACACCTGTGGGAAGATCGGGGGGGTGGGGGGCAGCCGCGGACGTGAGCGATTGAGGTCACTGGGGAGGAGGGTGTCTCGGGGTGGGCGGGAGGGAGGGGGCGGGGCGGGTTCAAGGCGGAATCCTTGGCTGCGCCCATGTCCTTTGCGGTCCTCGCTCTCTCGCTGTTCCTTTCTCCTTTCCTCCTTCCTCCCTCTCTCCCTCGCACTCTCTCTTCCTTGGTCTGCCCCCCCCCCACCCCCCCCCCACTACCTGTCACAATCGTGCCCTCTCGCTCCGGCGCCGCGAAATGTCACGGCCGCGAGTGGCAGTTGCTCCCGCCTCGCCCTGGACACACCCACGCCCGCTCGGTGCTTGGACACGCACGCAGCGCCGGGCGCCCCTTAGAAAGTGCGGGTGCAGATGGGGGTTTCTGGCGGGCCTCGCGATGGGGAGAGGAGGAAAGGGAGAAAGAGAGGGAGAGGAGGAGAGAGAGTAAGGGGGGGGGGGATTGAAATACAGAAGGAGAGGATAAATGATTAAGAGAGAGGAAAGGGAGAGGAGAAGAAAGTGAAAAGGAAGGAAAGGGGAGAGAGAAGGTGAGATAGTGAAAATGAGAAAGAGAGGGAGAGCAGGAGAGAGTGACAGAGACAGAGAGGTAGAAGAAGAGAGATAGTGTGAGAGGAGGGGGGGGGGGAGGATGAAGGGGTTGGGAGAGGAAGAAAGAAAACGAGAGAGAGTGGAAAGAGGGTGTGATTGTGAAGGGGGAAGGCACGAGAGGAGAGAGAGAGAGAGGGAAGGGGAAAGGGAGGAAGAGGAGGAGAGGCACATGACAAGTGCCAAGACAGTCAGCTTAAAGACCTTGTAACCTGCCTGACTCACCGTTTCTGTGTGTGTGTGTGTGTGTGTGTGTGTGTGTGTGTGTGTGTGTGTGTGTGTGTGTGTGTGTGTGTGTGTGTGTGTGTGTGTGTGTGTGTAAGAGAGACAGAGATTGTGTGTGTGTGTGTGTAAGAGAGACAGAGATTGTGTGTGTGTGTATGTGTAAAAGAGAGACAGAGACAGAGATAGGGAGCTTGAGTGATTGCCTGCATTTGTGCGTGCGTGTATGCGTGAGTGTCGAGGCCAGCATCCAGCGCTGGCTCCTAATCCTTTCCATTAGCCAGTGACCGACTTCACGACGCTGTTCAGACAATACGCGGCGTCGCGACCAATTTTCCCGTGTCAGCTGCTGTCGCCGGACCCCCCCCCCTTGCCTCTTGGGGGTGGAGGGAGGGGGGAGCCAGGTAGAAAATGAGAGATGAAAGGGGAGATAAAAGGTGAAAGAGGGAGAAAAGATGAGAGAGGGCGAAGAGAGAGAGAGAGAAGGGGGAGGGATAAAGAATAGAGAGAGGAGGGAGGAGAGAGAGAGAGAGAGAGAGAGAGAGAGATGGAGGGAGAAAAGAAAGAGAAGGAGGGAAGGAGAAGAGAAAGAGAGAGTGGGAGGGAGAAGCGAGAGAGGGGGGGGAGATGGAGAATAGAGAGAGGGGGGGAGGGAGAAGAGAGAGAAAGAGAGGGAGAGTGATGGAGGGAGAAAAGAAAGAGAGGGAGGGAAGGAGAAGAGAAAGAGAGAGTGGGAGGGAAAGAGAGAGAAGGAGGAGAGGGGGGGAGAGTGTAGAGGAGAGAGAGGGGGGAGAAAGAGAGAGAGAGAGAGGAGGGGGAGGGGGAGAAGAGAGGAGAGGAAAGAGAGAGGTGAGGAGGGGAGAGAGAGAGACAGACAGGGAGAGAGAGAGACAGACAGACAGAGAGAGGGGAGAGGTGAGAGGAGAGAGAGAGGGGGGGGAGAGGAGAGTAGAGAGAGAGGGGGGAGGAGAGGAGAGGAGAGAGATGGGGGGAGAGGAGAGAGAGAGAGAGGATAGGAGAGGAGAGAGAGAGGGGGGAGGAGAGAGAGAGAGAGGGGAGAGGAGAGAGAGAGAGAGAGAGAGAGAGGATAGGAGAGGAGAGAGAGAGGGGGGGAGGAGAGAAGAGAGAGAGGGGGAGGGGAGAGAGAGAGAGAGAGGGGGGGAGAGGAGAGGAGAGAGAGGGGGGGGAGGAGAGGAGAGAGAGAGAGGGGGGGAGAGGAGAGGAAAGAGAGAGAGGGGGAGAGGAGAGAGAAGAGAGGGAGAGAGGAGAGGAGAGAGAGAGAGGGGGGGGAGAGAGGAGAGGAGAGAGAGGAGAGGAGAGAGAGGGGGGGGAGAGGAGAGGAGATAGAGAGAGAAGAGGGGGGAGAGGAGAGGAGATAGAGAGAGAGGGGGGAGAGAGGAGAGGAGAGAGAGAGAGGGGGGGAGAAGAGAGGAGAGAGAGAGAGAGGGGGGAGAAGAGAGGAGAGAGAGAGAGGGGGGGAGAAGAGAGGAGAGAGAGAGAGGGGGGGAGAAGAGAGGAAAGAGAGAGAGGGGGGAGAGGAGAGAGAGAGAGGGGGGGAGAGGAGAGAAGAGAGAGAAGGGGGAGAGGAGAGGAAGAGAGAGAGTGGGGGAGAGGAGGGAGAGAGAGAGGGGGGGGGGAGAATGAGAGAGAGACGGGGGGAGTGAGGGAGGAGAGAGAGAGATGGATGAGAGAGAGGGAGAGAGAAAGAGAGAGCGAGAAGAGGAGAGAGCAGGAAAGAGAGAAGAAAGAAAGAGGGGGGTACCGGTAGGAGAGAGGGGTAGCCAAACCTGAAGAAATGAGACCGAGAGGGGGGGGGGGGTGCGTGCTTGGCAGTGTTTGCAAGGTCAGAATATCTTCTTCGCTGCCATGGTGTAGCCATGAACCTGGTGGATATTGCTTCTTTACCCCCCCTACTGTTCCACACGCCCCACGAAGCGGTCGCTCTGCCCTCGCCGCTCTTGCCTCGTCCCGCGTGCCCGGGCTTCGTCCGCGTGCGGGGACCCCGGGCCGTGGCTCTTGGGCACGCGGTGGTCGCGAATGGCCTGGGCCCGTGTCTGCCCCCATAGTTGTCTCTTGCCTGATTTGCACATACTTGGCGACAGTTCCAAAGTTATCCACTAAAATTTCATTAGAGTCACGGCAGTGTTGGGCTGCGGTTGCAGTGCAGTGGCAATGTAGATCGGTGCAGCAGTGCCTGAGCGGCGCAGCTGGCGCGAGTGTGCCACAGCGGGTCTCCAGGTGATGTTACCTAGTCCCAGGTGGTCCTGCGCCCATTGCTCATGGCTCTGCGTCGGCCAAGGCTGTTCCGCCGCCTGTCACTCTCACTGTGACAGCTGGTGCAACACCTCCCCTGTGGGTCTCCCTTTGATGAAGATGTTCAGAACGATTGTCTGAATGATAAGTGTTGTAATAATGATATTGGCGGTATTTCGGTAGTGCTGGTGTGAACGTCTGGAGTAGATATTCGCAATTTAAAAGCCTGTGTTGGAGAACTATTTCTCATATCGCTTGTACGGTTCTGTATGCGCGCGTGCGCTCGCACGGGACACCATGTCCAGCCGTGACGGTGTCTTTGGCTTCGATCTCAACTTCGAAAGTGCACACGTCGTGTTCGTGACGGAGAGAGAGAGAGAGAGAGAGAGAGAGAGAGAGAGAGAGAGAGAGAGAGAGAGAGAGAGAGAGAGAGAGAGAGAGCGGGGGATGGGGGGGAGGCACTAGCGGCAAGGTAAACAAACGGAAATCCGCCTAGCTGGTAACTCGCGCAGGTAGATGACCAGGAAGAAATGTGGGCGCCGGAACCCCGTTACGGTGAACGGGGATCCGGCGGAGGACGTCTCTCGGATCGGCGGGCGCAGGGGCCGATTCCCCGCCCTGCGCCGAGAGTCCTTCGCCGCGGCGGGAAGGGGCACGGCGAGGGCGGCCAAGAATCAAGTCGAGGCGGTCGCCCCTTTGCTCTCGCTACCCGGTGCTGCATTTTCCCTCGCGCGGCCGCCCCATC